AAATTTTCAAGCCAAAGCTCTGGAAAGCAGAAAGCTAGAGAGAGTAGCTTCAGGCACCATACCACTTCCCTTGTGATAAGTTTCCTGTTTGGTGTTAAGAAAAACTGATGCTTTTTATGATTTGTAAGCAGTGTCATATGATGCCAGTCTCATGCATATTTGTTTCCAATCACCCCCAAAAACCTTAAAAAAATATTGATTTTTATCTCGGCGCTCACATGGATTTTTCAGGGAAGGCCCATCAACATAAGATTCCTAAGCTCCAAAGGCTAGGTAGCTAAACTGTAATATTTAGAAAAAAGCCCCATAGCCAAACGTGCAGTTATCTGTTTATATTTTGAAGGTTGTAGGGCCTGATCCAAAGCCCACTGAAATCAATAGGAGTCTTGCCATTGATTTCAGGGAACTCTGGTGAGGCTCTTGTTAGGCTCCCGATATTTGAAACACTATTTCAATTATCACTAGAAGGAAATAAAGACTTGTGATTAACAGTGATGTTTAAAGTTTTCAAAAATCAGAAGGCTTTGTAATCCTCCCAGACCAATCCTAACATGGGTAATGATGGAGCTGTAGAAAATGTTATTTCAGTGTGTTAATCTAGTAATTTAAGAATTAATTATCCTGCTAGATTTTTACTTGCTTCATTCTATCTCGCTTAGAAGATCTCTATTCCCACAGTTTTCAAAAGCCCAGTGTAATGTCTTCTTGAAGGTGACACAGGAAGCCTGGGAACTGAATCAAGGTTTCCTAGGTCCCAGGCTAGGGCCCCAACCCCTCATTAGTTATTGTTAATTGTTAGTTTCTATTAGGAAAAAGAAAATTTAAAAACAACCAAATAAGTTTAGTGACTTTCAGCATATGATAGAATTGTTTGTAGCTCTTGCTACTAAGTAAAATGTGGGGCAAGATGTGGGTAGAACAGGGGGAGGGAAATGGAAAATCTGAGAAGTTGTGAAAGTATTTCAAGCTTCAACTACTTGGCTAAAAAAACAGGAGTCCTAGTCATATAATTAGGTGATAGTTGAACAAATTCATGGTGTAAATATAAGGAGGTTTTAAACCACACCGTGTTCTTATTCTGTCCTTTGGCTGTGGAAAACATTTTGTAAGCTACACAGCCCCTTAATTAGCACAGTTAAGGGTACATTGGTTTTTAAGGCACTTGACAGGTAAGAAAGATTCAAAGAGCAGTGTTGCTCTTTGTCTGTATTAGACGAAAAGGTGATTTTTGTTTTCCCTGGAAATTGAGCTTTTCTACCTTATTCTCCTATTCAAATTGCACAGGTCCAAAATATGCATTGTTGTTTTGGTGCCTTTGCATCATTCTGGTGCAAAAAGAGGGAAGAAAGACGGTGGAAATGACTCTTGGGGAACATGCACTGGTAAGAGTGGTTCCAGACCTGCCAGAACAATGCCATGTCATTTTCCCCTTCCCTGCAACAGCCTCTGTCACAGGAGTTGAGCCAAGGGGAGTGGCCAGAGCATGCTACAACCAGCTATTCTCTGCTGACATCAGGATCCCTATAGGGCTGTTACAAGGCAGCACAGCCTAAAGCAGGCCAGGGCTGGAATACGAAAGGCAAAAAAGTGGCATAAAGCCACCTTTGTTCCTCATCCCCCTACCCCTTTGCCAAGCACAGGAATAGAGAATCCCAAAGTCAGGATGAAAGAGGCCTTAATATTAGCCTCTCACAGGGAAGAGACATACATTTGAGGCTGATAATTTTGATCAGCTTCAACATTGTTGTAATCAAACACTCCTTACATGGAGTCAGAAATACTAGCAGTCTATGTGATATGATAGGAATAAGAGGGTTTTGTTTAATGTAGTGGGAAATGTATAAAGTAGCAAATGAGCTCTAGAAGGATTGGATTAAATTAAAAAGATCTGTATAAATGTTTTGAGAAACTGTTTGTAGTATGTAGGCATAGATTCTGAGGTTCACAGCTTTTTATTTGAGTTGAACATGGACTGAATGAGAACCTCAGGATTTGAATCATAGATTGTCCAGCCCTTTTATTTTCTATTTTTGTACTGAAAGCCTATGCCTGAGATGTTTCTAAGCATCAGGCAGACTAAACACCTGACTCCTCCATTCAACTCACCATCTTAGAACCAGAAGAAGAGCAAAGAAGTTGGTTTAGGTGTGCATTAAGTCCTGATCCTGCAAAGTCGTCTTCCCATGAATAGGCATATTTATATGAGTATTCCACTAAATAAATGGGCTAAATTTTGTTTTCAGCCACATGAATGCATGTGGAATAATTTAATTGAAGTGAATTGCAGTGGATTACAGTGGTACAGATTTAGTTTAAAGAAAGTGAAAAGCTGATCTAATGTCTTCATGGGAATTACTTAAAGGAACAAGATTCTGAATTCTAGATTGACCCTGGGATGGTCAGATACTATGGTAATGAGTGCAGTATAGGAATCCAAATGGAACAGAACACTAAATCTAAGTGATTTAAGAGGTCAGAATTCTGCAGTTTAATAAATATTAAAATTATAGCTTTAGAGAGGATAATTATGTGAAATCCAGCCTAATGATGTAATTGTAGCACCTTTCTCCATGGACCTGGCTGGAATAAATTTGAGACTGCTACTATTCTAGCTGATTGAAGAACAGAGGTCTTTCAGCTGCTTGGTTTCTTCAGATGTTCTCTGGCTTGGCTGTCTCTCCATGCCATGTTGTTGAAGTGATGTTATAGCCATGATGGTCTAGGAGAGTCATACTCCACTTTTAGGCCTTGCAAGCTAGATGAGTGGTATGTGGGCTGGATGGGGCCCTGGGGCCCAATACCACCCCTGCTTGCACCCCTCCTACTGAGATTGGGTCCCAGGGCTATCCTGGTCTGCCCCTGTGTGCTGGGCTTGGGGTCTGGCACGGCCCCACCTGGCTCTGTGCTCTGGAACCAGGCAGTGGATCCAGTCCTCAGGGCTTGGGGCTCCCTGTGGATTCAGAGATTTGGCAGCATGGGGGTGGTGACACCACTCCCCCGCCACCAAATTTCTGGATCCATGGGAGTTCCCTGAGCCAGATGACATAGGCTGGATCTGGCCTGCGGGCTAGAGGTTGAGCACCCCAGTCTAGGAAATATGTGAGAGGCAAGGATATTTTGGTGGGGAGGGAGGAG